TCTATCTATCTATCTATCTATCTATCTATCTATCTATCTATCTATCTATCTATCTATCTATCTATCTATCTATCTATCTATCTATCTATCTATCTATCTATCTATCTATCTATCTATCATCTCTGATGAAAGTGAATTATGCAACTAGGGAACTATTGCCCAGAAATATTTCTGTTTCACCTAAGATATCCATGCTTGGTTATGCTACACCCCTGTCACTCCAGTAGTGCTCAGGAACTGCTTACCATAAACTTTATTTCTTTATTTTTAAAAATATGATTTTGTTGTGCCATTTCTTTTTCCTCTTCCAGAATTGTTCAGATAGAGGGATAAGGGACTCCATATGGCTGTCCTTGCTTCATCTCCCAGAGGGACAAACAGTAGAAATAGCTAATGTGAGTCCTTGTTGCAAATAATATATATTTCATCACATTTCTGTGTTATCAGAGTTCCAGAGTGAACAGTGTACAAAATATATTAGGGTTTTTTTTGGACCACAGCTTCCAGAACCTTCCAGTTATGACTGACTATGCTGGCAAGGGGATTCTGGGACATTTACAATTACATTTCCAGGCTGTGTCCAGTCCAGTGATCTGTGTTTACACCAATGGTCTCTTGGAAGTATAGGATTTTTTCTGTACACGGGAGTCCCAGGTATGGAGTTGACTCGCGTATTCAGAGGAATGTGCAATCAGATCTGAAGCTCCACTGAAATGAGTGGAAATTCATATAATGAGTTTCTCGTAAGCTTCAGTGCTCCTGTATCTGGAAGTAGTTATGTTTATTTATTTATTAGTTATTTATATTATATATATGCCACCTTTTCTCCCATAGGGGACCCAAGGTTGCTCACAACAATTAAAATAATACAATCATAAACAGTTTTTAAAATTCCATAAAAACTACATTTAAAAACAATAAAACATTCGTCAATATCAAACTCAAGGTTCAAAACAGTTTTAAAACATTTTAAAAACAGTTTACAGTCTCTAAATTTAATAAATATGGCATTCCTGAGACCTCCAAGTTTTGCTTAAAGGAATGCCTGAAAAAAGAAGGTCTTTGCCTGATAATGGAGGGACAAGAAGGAGGAGATCAACGTATTTTTGGGGGGCAGCCACCGAGAAGGCCCTCTCTTGCATCTTCACCAGATTAGCTTGGGAAAGTGGGAACTGAGAGAAGGGCATCCCCAGAAGACCTTAAAAGCCGAGAAGGCTCATATGGGGTGATATGATTTTTCAAATAGTCTGGACCAAATCTATATAGTCAGCTTTGAGTTGGGCCTGGAAACAGACTGGCAGCCGGTAAGGCTGTTGTAATAAGAGAGAGAAGATTTCCCTGTAACCAGAATGTAAGGGTATCTTGCTCTTCACATGATGACACTGGGTTTCTGCTTTAAACTATGCTTAATACTCAGTGTCAGAGAATACATCTATTTAGTAGTTTAGAAAAATGTTCTCCATACACTCATAGACTTTAAAGATATTCCTCACAAATTCATGATGATCTGAAGTTAGGTATAGGAGCATTGTGAGTTTCTGGTGTATACATTTTCTATTTAAACAAATTTCCTTTGTGTAGACAGAACTGATGGGGATGCGCACAACAGGACAGATGCAAACTGTCCCATTAAGATTCAACTCACAGGCTGTGTTAATTGTCAGACTGGACTAACAAATAAGGAGGGCAAACAAAATCCATTTGAAAATCACGATAATATTGTAAATGACTAATGCGTACTTATTTCTGGCTTTTGTTTTTGTTTTAGAAAAAGCAGTGTGATATATTTGTGACGGCAGGAAACTGGTAAACACGTTTGTTGATTCTTATGATGTTCTACTACAATCTTTACTTTCACTGATTTTCAGTTAAGTGAGAGAATTCCCTTCCAGTGTTCTCACGTTGCTCATAAAGAGGCAAATAGTAGCCTGATCTATTAGCCCTCCCTGTATGTCCAGCAAGAGGTTTCTCATGGGGCTTTAACTCTCAGCTTTCTGCTGTTCTCTTCTTGACAACTCTTAGCAATTCTGCCAATTGACAAATATTAGTACTATTCACTGTCGTGTTTTAGATACAAATACTGTTTGAAGTTATTTATCAAATTCCAACCGTTCCTTTAAATCTTTTTCGTACTCAGTCTTGTGACATCCTTTTATTATTCATATTTCACAGATATGGAATTGGCCCTGAGAATTCACTAAGGTGAATTTTGAACTCTGAGCCCTTGTAGTTATCCACTGTTAACTCTGCTCCAGTGTCCCACAAGTGGATTTTAATCCACAAAGGATCACATCAAAATAGAACTGTTAATCTTTAGAGTACTACAATATTTAGTTCCCTTTTCTTTTGCCCATATGCTGATACAGACTGACATGTTTACTTCATTATTTGCACGAACCCACTTATTCTGCACATTGACTTCTGAATTTTTAAAAATTAAAATGCAGAATAGAAATATATTGAATGGGATAAACCCAATTATTAGTCCCAACTAGAATAGAAACAAGGGGACTTTACCAGGTCTATTTGAGGCCAGTAAGAACTATTATGTTAGTTTTCACATGTGTTCAAAGGTATGCACTATGTTGCTTTCTCACTTGCAATAAATTTACTAAATTGAACTGATTAAATATGTGTTGAGATGCTCAGATTATAATAACACATTTTGTCCTCTAGTCAGAAGGATCTTGATATACGTTTAGGATTTGATCTCTGTGCAGAGGAGCAGGATTTCATCTGCATGCGCAAGAAATATGTTGCTGCGAGTTTGAAAAATGTTCTCCAACTAGAAGAAGACCTGCAGGATGATGAGGTATAGCCTTCAAAGGATAAAGTCAACAAAAACAGAGGGAGCTCATGGTATTTGGTGTAAACATATGGACACAATACACATCATGCATAATATACACTTCTGAAAAGGAGTAGAAAATTGAATTTGCAACCAGTAGATATCTAGAGTCACCAGTGAATGCCTCCTCCACTTGAACTCAGAGTAAGCTACCTTACTATTGAGCCCTACCAGTAAGCAGAACGAGACCTGGTTGATTCAGGAAACTGATTTTGAGAGTTATGAAGGAGATTCACATTGCTTTGTTTTGGATTTTATATTACTTTATTGTTACTCCCCCAAAGAAGCCTCTATCCTTGTGGGATTTTCTGTCTCAGGTGCCCAAATTATCAGGTGATCTATAGATCCTGTGCACTTTGGCTTGCAGAAAGGGGCAGTGTTTTTATTGTTCCACTTTAGAAAGCAAAATGTCTAGATCAGAACCACAGGTGATGATATGGTAGTGGTTTTCTATTGTTAAAGACTCTCCCCACTCGCCCTGTCCTGAGGCTAGCAAAGGCTTTCCCAGGGCAAGAAAGAGTCTCAGAACCTGAAAGGGACAGTGGGAAAGGAAACTTTCTATAAATTTAAATTAAATGTTTCCAGCACCCAATCTGGCACAAAGTTACCCCATTAATAACGTACTACAAACAACCCATTCTCCATTAAATTAAATAGTAGTGTTTTCACTGGTAACTAAGCCCATCAAGAAAGGTTTACAGCAAGGCACCAAGACTGTTGAATAGTATAAAACAAAGGGTGACTATGCATCCTTACGGCTTTAAAACTGGGCGTGCTGGTGGGAGAATTCTGGGAGTTTAGTTTTTTTTTTTTTTAAAAAAAAGTTCCTCAGACTCTGGTAATACTGAATCATGTACATTACCTCCTCTCTTCAATCCTAAAAAAATTAATGTCAGATGTTTTGCTTTTGTGTAGGTTCCAGTAGTGGCTTTGATGACAACAGCAGGAGGTGTAAGATCAATGACAGCCATGTTGGGTAGCCTGCTGGCTCTCCAGAAGCTGAATCTCTTAGACTGTATTTCATACATGACTGGTTTATCTGGAACAACATGGTAAGGAGGGGGAAAAAACCCTGCTAAGAGAACCTGGGCTTCTGTTTTCCCTCTCCACCAGTGTAATGGGCTGGGTCTTCTGTCCTCCCCATGCGTGACAGTGCCAATGAAAATGGGTCGTCTATGCCTTCAGTTAAAGAAACAGAAGCAACTTCTCATGGCAGAATGCATGTTATATGCTGTTCCATCCTTGGTTTCCAGAACCCTTGCTATCTTGGTCACATTGTCCTTCTTAAAATGTGGTATCTATAACTGGACAAAGTGAGTGCTGGATTTATGTTCAAGCCGACTGAACAACCGCTTATGGTCTCAGATGACAAAGGGCTTCTTTATACAAAAGGAAACAGAATAGAAATGGACCACATTGCAAGTGTTATTTTACTAATGCTTGTGAGTACAGTAGTTTAGAGCCTCAGCATGTTTTAATTTGGTCCTGGAGAAAGTACTCCAGATGCAGTCTAATTCTTCAGAGTAGAATAGAACTGTTACCCCCTCAGAATCTGGATATTATGCTGCCACTAATGTCATCTGAAGGTTTCTTTTTAAGCTAAAGGAAAAAGTCATAATACCAGAACAAATTTTTTTTGGTATTTCTGGACACCTCTAGACATTTCCTTACCTTTTCTCTTTTCTTAGCATAAGGCCCCCCCTACCTCCTGGCACCACTTTAATTTTTTTTTTAAATGTGTCTTTCCCCCCAAGCATTTTACATTAAAGCTTGATGCCTGCAGCTCTAACAGAAGAAAGGATAGAATGTGAAGCTGTCAGCAAATAGAAATGCAGTGGAGTAAGTTTGTTGTTCTACAGTTGGAAACAGCAGGAAAAGAGGAAGATCAGCCTTGAGATGGATTTATTCGACGGGAGTTGGGAATGTTTAGCCTTACAAAAAGAAGGTTGAGAGGGGACACGATAGCCGTGTTTAAATATTTGAAAGGATGTCATGTTGAAGAAGGGACAGGTTTGTTTTCCAGGGCTCCAGAGACTAGGACACGGAGCAATGGTTTCAAACTACTGAAAAAGAGAATCCATCTGAACATTAGGAAGAGCTTCCTGATGTTCAGAGCTCTTCAGCAGTGAAATATGCTGCCTCGAAGGGTGGTGGAATCTCCTTCTTTGGAGGTTTCTAAGCAGAGGCTGGATGGCCCTCTATTGGGAGTACTTTGATGGGTGTTCCCGCATGGTGGGGGGTTGGACTAGATGGCCTCAGTGGTCTCTTCCAACTCTATGACTGTATAACAAAGGAAGCCACTGCCTTGAGTTTGCAAGACCTGAGCAGGGCTGTTAATGACAGGACCTTTTGGATTTCACTAATTCATAGGTCTGCTGTAAATCAGAAATGATTTGATGGAATGTAACATGAACACCACATGTTCTGTTGTCTTGGCATGACCATAGTAAATCTCTGTGTTAGAGAACATCTGAATGTGGTTATGATCTTTAGCAGCTTTCCGGTTTATTTATTTTGGGGGTTTTTTTGCTGGGAGGGAGAAACATTATCTTATTTGAAGTCTGTAGGAAATTTATAAACTCCTTTGATCCAAGCAGTGAGTAGTGTATAACCCTCTCTGCTACTTCCTTCGCTGTTTGACGCAATGCATATGTACAGTTACACCCTCCTGAATGTATAGGAGGACATTACAGTTAACATCAAGCAGTTGCATAAGAATATGACCAAATTAGCACCAGGTAAGTATCCATCTGTATTTGCTTGAAGTTATTGGTCAGTTCAATTCTACATTTTCGTCTTTTAAATTCTTTCCCCAGGACCATGATAAAACTATATGGTGATGCATACTGGTCACAGAAGGATCTGAAAGGGCCGGTCAATGAAATTCGGAAACATGTCATGAAAAATAAACTGTGTTGTTTTTCTGGGGAGCGCTTAAAATACTATGAGAAGGAAATATGTCAGAGGCACTTAGAGGGCCACAAGCTGTCTTTTGCAGATCTCTGGGGACTCATTCTTGAATCCATGTTCCATGATGAGGTATTGTATTAGCATATTTTTCTTCTTTAAAAAGGAGAATGTGATCTAATTATAGACGAAGGTGAGGAAATGGCATAAACTTGAAAAGCAAAAAAGTTTGCTATTATTTCTTTACATTTACATTTTATATATGTGTACGCCACACTTATCTTGGTGAATTGGGTGGAAACTATGCCACCCTCCTGCCATCAAAGTACTTATCTCAATGGGCTTAGAAGCATTTCAGTTTCAAACCATCCTGGTATGATAAAGGAGGCTACCAGAGACTGACATGGCCAAGGCAATGAGTTTCAAAACATCAGAGTCTCATTGTTTTGATTAAAAACTGTTTACAGTGCCATTTCTGATTTAACTTTATTTTTTTGGTTATAGATTGTCATTTTAATCCTCATCCAGGCAGGCGGGATGTTTTAGTACCTTAGGAATTATTCTTTGTTGCTGATAGCACAAAGAACCGAACTTACAAATCAGGCATTTTACAGTATACCTGAGGAATTGTGTACATGGCCCTTGAGTTTCAGCCACCTGCCTTCACAGGCTTTTATTTTACAAAAAACAAAGCAAAACAAAAAACCAAACAACCTACCACAACAAAACCCTATCCCAACAAAGTATTGCACTTTTGCATTGTGGTGCTGTGTGTCAGGGCAAAAAGTGTTCCATGCTGTTTTTTGGTTGACACATGATGCAGAGAATCTGTCACAAGTGCTTCAGGAAATAGTACTTCCCACCACTAAAACGGAAGTGGAAGACAGCTCCCATCTGAAGCCCTGTTATCTGTGTAAATGAGCTACTATTCCCTAAGATAATGAAGCACCCTGTTCATGAAAGGGAAAATATGTGATCAGTTGCTTGGTAGCTAGACTATCAGGAGTCCCTCAAAGACAGAATTAACTGAAAAAATTAATCTGTGGCTGTTCCATGAACAGTAACTATGTGTTTGAACAGATTAAAAAAAATATTTTGCTATGGTCTGAATGGGGTGGGGGGAAAGGCAAGCAAATATGACTCCACATTACCGTTGTGGGTTGGAGGTGGAAGTCAGTGTGCACCGACAAAAACAAGGATGGGGAAAAGTACATTTTTCTCTACTGTTTTTATGTTATGTGTTCTGCAGTCAAGAGTTCAATAAAATGAAAATCTTGTACTTCAGAGGAAACTGGGAATGACACTTTCAGAGAGACTGAGAGTGATCAGTGCACGTCTTAAGATGAAGATAGTGCCTCCTGGTATTCATGTTTTGAAGACCATACTTTCTCAGAGCACTCATTAAGGCATACAAAGCAAGGATGGCCATGGCCATAGATTCCATGGCTATGGCCATCCAGGAGGCAAAAGATAAGGAACAGCAGCATCTGCATGTTTGATTCCATCTAGAAATGATGAAATGGAGCTGCTAGCTTTTTGAGGAATGGAAAGATGTGGTGCAGATGTGCATAGATGATTCAACACAGGGCACTCAGAGACATCACTTAGGCACAATGAAAGGCTCTTCATTGGAAAATATTTTTGTAGGAAGACATAATCTTGTTATTGGAGTTGAAAAATGTGCCACTATCATTATTACTTGGTCTTCCTGCAAATGCATTAAAAGAGCAGTTTTGCTTCTGGATGTGTATCGGTTTCCGAGTGGGATTCTTATAGTTTTGAATTGTAAAAAACCAGTTACACTGTTCTTAAGTACATTTGTTTGGTTGTACTTTTTTTTTGTGCAAAAAAGGGAGTTCTTAGTTACTCAAAACAAACATTTGTAGTGATTTCTGACTTTGGATGTTTGGGTATAAGGCAATAAAATTGCTTCTGTACCCATAAATGCTCCTGCAGATGGACATAGGGACCATATGAATATATTTCAGGTCATACTCATACCCTGAAATATATTGATTTTTCCACAGATTAAAAAAAATCATAGAAGTCATTCAGGGAATTTGATTTTTTTTTTAATCCATCTAAATGAGGGTTAAAATGTCTCATCTATTTGGAGGCTGCATCGAGACAACTTTTGTTCAGAAAGTTTGGATAGCTAGAGAGATGTATTTATACTTCATAGAAATACGATAGAAAATTACTTCCCAAAACCAGTACTATATAAGACATTTATAAACATAGAAAAATGACAGGGTTTCCTAAACAGGAATATTTAACATTCAAGATAAATTAACACAAGCCCAAATAATTTTCTGTTAATTATCATTTCCCCTGAACAGCCAGATCCCAACAAGCTCTCAGATCAACGGAAGGCAGTGAACATTGGACAGAACCCTCTGCCCATTTACCTTGCCCTCAATGTCAGAGACAGATATAGCACACTAGATTTTAAAGGTAAGATCCAATCACATGTGTAGAGTCTTAAGTAGAACATACATTATATGAGCATACTTCAAAAGCTAGATATCAAAAGGCTGAAGAGGAGGCATTTCATGGCCTTTTTTCTACAAACACATGCTAGACTTTGTCAGTTTTAACTTGTAAACTGTCCAGAGTGGTGCATGCACATATGGGACAGTAGCTAAGTCAATCAGTCAGTGAATTCTAAATGGCTTTTTGTCTATCTCTGTTTGAATACATATACATATGTGTGTGTGCACCTGTGTGAGTTTATGTATGTAATAATACTAACAAATAGAAGTATTTAAGCCTTCTCCTGCCTTCCTCAGTTGCTCTAGAAACAGTATGCTGTTTCCAAGATGGAATAAACTTTATATCTTTATTAGAGCAATTGAGGCTGCAGAAGCTGAAACACTTTGCTTAAATATCTGGAAGTTGAGTCATGGCATCTGGACTTCTTTCTTGTTAGTTTGAAACTTAATGTGGAGGATATATCAGGGGTCTCCTACCAACTCTCCTCAGACCGAAGAAGCTGCTTGGATGAGGAGCAACACGTTTCAACCTAACAAAAAAGAAGTCCAATTGCCATGACTCAACTTCCAGATAATCTCACCTGGATAACTGAGAATCTCCACAGATATTTTGCTTAAACAGTTCTGTTTGTTAGTTACTCATTGTATGTTTTTAGTGATTAACTGCATTCTCCAGGGATCCAGAAAACACTTGATTGAGGTGCTTTTCAGTTCTTATGTGTTTATATAATAACACTGTGTATTAGTATATAGTATACACACTACTTCTACTACTATTATTACTAGTAACAGAGTACTGATCCGTCAGAGCTCCAAGACCATGAAACCTAGAATATAGCTACACCACACAGCTGTAGCAGTTTGGTACCATTTCAACAGCCATGGCTAAGACCTATGGTATTGAATTCTAGTATTTGCAGTTTCATGAAGTACTCAGAAATATCAAGCTTCTATACTGGTGTGCTGTAGACAGACTTGTAAAGGTAAAGGTAAAGGTTCCCCTTGACAATTTGTCCAGTTGTGTCTGACTCTAGGGGGCGGTGCTCATCTCCGTTTCCAACTCATAAAGCTAGCGTTTGTCTGAAGACAATCTTCCGTGGTCACGTGGCCAGCACGACTAGACACTGAATGCCATTTACCTTCCTGCCGAGGTGGTACCTATTTATCTACTCACATTTTTTGCATTTTGCATGCTTTTGAACTGCTAGGTTGGCAGGAGCTGGGACAAGTGACGGGGGCTCACTCTGTCACATGGATTTGATCTTACAACTGCTGGCCTTCTGACCTTGCAGCACGGAGGCTTCTGCGATTTAACCTGCAGTGCCACCACATCCCCAGACAGACTTGTAGACCCTTGCAGTTATGAGAATCTTATGTACACACCTAGGAGTTGTTTGGTTTTTAAGTGCGCTAATTAATTTTAGCATGCACATGTGTTTGAAGTCTTGCGCTACTAGCTGCAGATACCAGGTGACAGGTATTACTAACGAGTGCATCAATTTACAGTCAGTTCAATTTGAAATGGCGAAGGGGTGATCATTGAAAGGATAAAATTATAAGACCCTTTCCTCTGCCTTGGGAAAGTCTTCCTCATACACACAAACTGTATTTGTTCATTTATATTTATATGCCTCCTTTTAAATTAATCTTCAAAACACTTGAAAATTCAACTGTTTAAAACATACAAAATTGAAACATTAAAACCATTGCATTAAGGACCTGTGCATGTCAAGATCCTTAACCCTCCAATGGTTCTAATAACTAAGTATGTTTTGACTTTCTGCCAAAATGATGCCAACGTTGGCACCAGTTGAGCCTCCAAGGGGAGGGCATTCCATAGTTGGGGTGCTACAGCCAAGAAAGCCACCCTTCTGTCTCCCCATAATGAATAGTTCTCAACAGTGGAACATGGAGGAGGGCCTCCACAGCAGGTCTTAGTGACTGGGCAGGTTTACATGGGTAGAGATGCTCCTTCAAATATCCAGGCCCCAAGGTGTTTAGAGCTTTGATAAGGTGCTAGTCACATGTTGTGCTTGTCACAAATCTCATTGCGTGCTCATTTAGCAAGCAACTTGAACACACCTGGAATCTTATCAATTAGCTGCTGGCAACTCCCATAGTTCCTCTCATTGGCATGTAGATATAAACAAAAAAAATATTGGCCCATGGGTCTGAAGAAGTGGATTGTAATTTAATGAAGCTCACCAAAATGAATATCCTTTGATTTGTATTCCTTCACTGAGCAAGGGGTTGGACTTGATGGCCTTATAGGTCCCTTCCAACTTCATTATTCTATGATTCTATGATACTATGAATCTGTTAGTCTTACAGGTGTCACAATATTTTTGTTTGCTGTTGTTATAGTACTATGAATCTGTTAGTCTTACAGATGTCACAATATTTTTGTTTGCTGTTGTTATGTATGCAGAAACAGACACTAAAAACTTTGAAAACTGCTTTTTGTACTATACAGTATTTCCTCTAATGTCCCAGTTAACATGAAAATATGCAGAAACAGACTGAAAACTAAAAACTTTGAAAACTGCTTTTTGGACTATATAGCATTTCCTCTAATGTCCCAGTTAACATGAAAAGGTTGACTGCAGAGTTACTATCAGTTTGCCTCCATGCTCTGAATGATTCATATTTTTGATGTAACTTACCTTTATTTTTATATGGCTATTTACAGAGTGGGTGGAATTCACGCCCTATGAAGTTGGCTTCTTGAAATATGGAAGTTTCATTAAGGCAGAAGACTTTGGAAGTGAGTTCTTCATGGGTCGTGTGATGAAGAAGATCCCAGAATCTCGGCTCACTTTCATGCAAGGTAGCTTTATCTTAAAACAAGGAGAAAGGGCTAAATTGTATCCTGTGCATTTTGAAATTGAATCCTTGTTAATGTTACAATAAAAAAAATTACTGCATTCCTAATTCTCATTGATTTCTGATGACTCTTAGATCAGTGTAAATCTTTTCTTCCCACAATTTTAGTTTCTAAATGTATACTTTGAAAAAAATAGACAGTAGAACGCTTGTTACCAATTTGGTTGAACATTAAATTAAAATTTGCTTTCCAGTGGTTTGAAAACATTATCTCAAATAAGTATTTGTCCAATTTTTTTTACCTTCTCAGGCATGTGGAGTAATATATATTCCCAAAATGTGCTTGATGCCTTATATTTAGCAGACTGTTCAGACGACTTTTGGCACAGATGGACGAAAGATCGTATTGATGATATAGGTCAGTACAATATTCCCTCTCATTTAATGTATTTCCTTTGGAAGATTAATCACACAAAAGGCCCCATTTCCCAAGAATTTTGGAGATTTACTTTGAAATAGAGAACCCTCCCTCAAATTTAACCGTATGCCTGGCTCTCCATTCTTTTGCAAACTGGCAAATAGATTCCTCCCTCCCAGCCCCTGTACCCCAAGTTAGTTTATTGTATGTAAATGTTAAGCCCTGTGAAGGGATGCTCTTCCATTCTGCTCTTCTGTACTATACACAATACAATGCTAGAAGTAAATTTCAGTGATAGCATTAATCATTCCCTCCACTTGCATGCAGGCATGCTGAAGGTCAGATCCCACACAGTTGTCTAAAGACTTGTATAGGAGCCATATGATTCCCTTTTCCTCTGTCAACCTGCTATCTTCATGCTTCTAGGGGAATTCAGCATTGGATAGCATGCATGCAGAAGGGAGTTGAAGAGAGTCAAGCTACTTGCAGCTTGAAGAAGGAGAAGGGAATGTGGCTTGGCAGGTATACCTTGAGTCTTCATCCAGCTTCTTTCCACCTCCCATTTAATATATTCATGGAGGATACCTATTCCCACCTGAAATAGTTGCTAGAGTCTCAGACTCTCCCAATTTCCTTGAGCTATCCCATCCTGCTTCCATTCTGAACTATTCACAGGCAATTTCTATTAACAGAATTGAATCCAAAGAATTCTCTACTTTGAGAACATTTAATGGCATTTCTGTTCCCCACCCTTAATGCATGCTCACTAATATTGTACAAGGTTCAACAACAATGGTCTGCTATAGTGTGAAGCCTTCTTTTTTAAATAAATGTAAAATTTGGCAAAACTGAAAATGTTAAGTTTGATATTTTAAATGTTAAGCATTTCCATATTTTTGCCTGAAATTTGACATTCAAAAATGTAAGTCACCTTGTTCCTGTTAATTGTTGTTATTCATTGTTGTTGATTATCATAATCATAGTTGAATATTTATTACACAGCTAGGAAAAGTCCCCATGCTGGCTGGGATATCTTGGAAATAGTAATGTTTTAAAAAGTAACTTTGCCAAGCACTGTTTTGTCGCTATTTCAAGGAAACTTTAGGCAAGGAATCTCAGCAAAGCTGTCTCTGCTCCACAGAAAAGGAGAGTCCACACAGCTTGCCTCAGAGGCCCTATGTGCAGCCAACACGCCTCTTCATCCCCAATGGGACCCTCTCCAATGTCCTTAGAGATGTTGTAACATTGCGTCCAGTGCTTTCACATTTCCACAATTTCATGAAGGGCCTCCAGCTGAACAACAAATATTTGGAGAATGACAGGTTTCGTATTTGGAAAGGTAATGTGAATAGTAATTTATCCAGCTCCCTCCTCTCCTCTCCTCTCCTCTCCTCTCCTCTCCTCTTATGGGGCATGAATCCTCTTTCATAATTATATGTGCACATTATCCAATGTTTAACAGTCCTGAATGCAGTAGTTTCAATTTAGGAAGAAAAGCAAGTTTGCTGTTTTCTCAATCAACACATACAGAGGGAGTGGGTGGTAAAAGCTCAGAGTGGTCTTAAGTGACTAGATAGGCGGGATATAAATAAAATAAATAAAATAAATAAAAGCTATGGAGCTGGGACAAGATTGAGTTATTACACTGAATCTCAAGAAACAGGGTTGCCAATCATTCTGTTTCTTTAATCCCAGCCCTTCTTTAATTCCTTTTCTTGATCATACACCCTTCTTGTTCATAATGTCCCCAGAATACTGTTCAGTGACTGCAGGAATAAATTATTCACTTTAAGCTCAGTTTTTTTCAGAAACACAGTACTGTATGTCTAACTTTCCACAAAAACTGGTGGTGAACATGAACAAGGTAAATGCATGGATTTAGTCTGAAAGGGTGATATTGCAGGAAGATTAATTCAGTGATTTTTGGTGAAATAAATTTAGCTCATTCCCTCCAGCAGGTTGCACCTAGGTTTCTTGAAATGAAACTTGCTATGTTTATTTATTTGTTTCTTCCATTTATATACAGCTTACATAGTGGGAAGCCAACAATTACAACAGTTAAAAACCAACACTCGCCCACCTTGACTAAAATAAACAACTTATTCCACCAAAGAAACTGCCAAAGGCTACAGCTAAGTGAAAATGGAATATAAACAAACAATCAAAGGAGGAGGATGTTCTTTAAGGCTTCTTTTAAAAACTCAGTTTTAACCGGCTTCCTAAAGGTCAGGAGGGAGAGCACCTGGTGGACATCCACAGGCACCATGTTCCAAAGCATCACAGCCACCATCAAGAAGGCTTGGTTCCTAGTGATCATTTTCTGGGTCTCCGTTGGGGTGGCCGCTTGCAACAGTGAAGCTTGGAAAGGTAGAAGCTCTTAAGGAGAGATGCTCCAACAGGCAAAAAGGTCCCAAACTGTTAAGGGTTTTTGAATTAACACTTTGAATTTGGCGCAGAAGCAAACAAGAAGCCAATGCAGGCATGCTAAGATTGGTGAGAGGTGGTCATATTTCAAAGTTCCTGAAACCAATGTGGCTGCTGCATTCTGAACCTGCTGTAGCTTCTGTATCACCTTCAAATGCAGCCTCACACAGATAGGATTTCCTTGCAATATCTGGAGGGCCAAATAATTCACACCTCAATTTGACAGGGCTGAATGTGTCAATATTCAATTTGCCTTTCAGACACCGTGATAGATTCAGCTCCCAATGAACTGAGCGATGTAGCAGAATACCTGGAGCTTATAGACACAGCATTCTTCATCAATACCAGCTGCCCTCCTCTGCTGAGGCCAGAGAGGAAAGTGGATGTCATTTTGCATTTAAATTACAGTGGAGGATCTCAGACACTGGTGAGAAGAATTTTGTCCATAGCAACTTTTCCATATCTAATAGGCTCTTCCTTCCTTCCTTCCTTCCTTCCGTCCGTCCTTCCTTCCTTCCTTCCTTCCTTCCTTTCTTCCTTCCTTTCCTATTTCTTTCTTTCTTTCTTTCTTTCTTTCCCTCTTTCTCTCTTCCTTCCTCCTTCCTTCCTTCCTTCCTTCCTTCCTTCCTTCCTTGCTTCTAAATATTGAGAGAAGATTATTTGAAGAGCCTAGGGGAAGGGAACCTGCGTTGATTCAGTGTAGTCATATCTGACCAGAAACCACCATTCAAAATGATTGAAATTATTTCAAGTACAATTGCACAAGTCCCACTATTTCCACACCTCTCCAAGATTTTATCATGTGCAATAATATCATATCTGGGTCTGGACATCTTTTCTAAGCCACTTTGAGGCTCCTCTAGGGGCACAAAGGTGGGACAGCAATGAAATGAATAAAATACAGTGATGCCCTGCCTAGCAATGATAATCCGTTCCAAAAAAATCATCGCTATACAGATTTGTCGCTATGCGGGGCAAAAAAGCCCATAGGAACGCATTGAAACCCTTCAGTACATTCCTATGGGCAAAAAACTCACCTTAAAGCGAAAATCCTCCATGCGGCCGCCATTTTCGCTGCCCGGTATGCGAGGAAATGGTGCAAAAACACTGTGGGCGGCCATTTTTTTCCGGCGGCCATTTTGGAATGACCGATCAGCTGTTTTTAAAACATCGTTATGCGGTAATTGGTAAGCGAAACGCTTACCAATCATCGCAAAGTGATTTTTACCCATTGAAAACATTGTTATGCGATCGCTTTTGTGATTGCAAAAACCTCATCGCTATGCGGATTCTTCGTTAAACGAATCACTCGTTATGCGGGACACCACTGTAATAAGTTCATAATTATGAAAGAGAGAGAGAATCAGAGAGAAGAGAGGTCCTCCTAAAGAGGCAGACCTTGCAAGATTGTCACTACTTCCTCTTTTCTGAACACCATCTTGCAGAATCATAGACACAGAAAATCTAGTCTGCCCTTCTTCTTATGCCAAGGCAGCATCTCCCATTTCAAAGCATGAGAGATGCTGGGCCCACTTACCTCGCTGAATTCCTAGTTTTTGTGTAGTCAAAGCTGTTTCATTTTCTCTTTGTATTCTGACTTTACTCATGTTTGATGTTCTAGCCATTGGACTTATCCGTAAAATACTATGCAGAACAGGGCATTCCATTCCCTAAGGTTGAGCTGACTGAAAATGACAGGGAGCATCTCAAGGAGTGTTATGTTTTTGATGAAGGAGAGACTCCAAAGGCTCCTATATTGGTATATATGCCACTGGTGTGTGATACCTTCCAAAAATACAAAGCACCAGGTAAGTTATTTGGGATCTGCTTGGGCGTCTTGTGTCTTGGTTTTCATTCCTGGCTTCAAGATGTTTTAGTGTTTGGTTGGCATTAAAAAAAGAGGTTTGCATTGGGGCGCAGCAAGAAAAATACAGGCACATCCACACTTCTATTCTGGCAACAAAAATTCCTGCTACCAAAGAGATCCTTGACAAGGGTTGGCCTTGATGATCCATTGGGTCCCTTCCAGCTCTGCAATTCTAAGGTGGTGATGATGATGATGATTAGCCACCAATCAGTTGAAATGGTGCACTCTCTTTTTGTCAGAAGAATACAGAAAAGGAATCCTAGCTGTGTGGTGCTTTCCTCCATATCATCTGGATTCCATCTTCTCTGGATCCTGGAACCAAAGCTTTCTGTGTTAGCCTCCCGGTCCCTTCCTTGGCTATCTGAAGGATTGTGTCACCTTTTATGAGCCTTCTCAGCATTTAAGATATTCTGGGAAGGCCTTTCTCTCAGTTCCACCAAGTTTTGGACACAAGAGACGGCTTTCTCAGTGGTTATTCCCAGGCTTTGGAATGTGCTGCTTTGAGAAGCCAATTGATTAGTTTGGTCTGAAAAATGTATACAGTACTTGTTATGTGGTGTGAGGGACTAAAGATGAAGAAGTTTATTATCATTTAAGTTTTTATCCAGTATTAAGCCAGAGTTTCCCAGTACAGCTAGCCTAGGAATGTGGATTTAATGTCAGTCAAGCCACCACAAATAGTTAATAATAATATTGACAATATAAAGTCAATATTAAGCCTGAGAATCGATTCATGGATTGTAGAACTTTGCACTAAAATTGGCATGCAATAGGAAAGAAGGAAAAGAAGGGTTAAGGGAAAGATGCTTGACTTAGCACTGATTTGCAAATTCATAAACCATACAATTATCTGAACCAAGCCATTATATTTCTTAAATTCAAGGTGAACATAGATTGAAAAATACTATTGTTTAATTATCATCATCTTACAACTGCAGAGCTATGGATCATTGAGTCTATACTTTGTCAAGGAAGCACAATGGGGCATTGAACCCCTGACTGCTGGCTTCAACACACCTTTCCAGACTTTTTCCATCTGTTAAATTAACAGTCTGGTAAAGTTTTCTGCATAATGAAACTACAAATTTTGTACAATAATCTTTGATCTTTGATAAGATCAAAGTGGAGCCTGGAGATGTTACATGCTAATATTAAATATTTTTTTCCTGGGAAATAGAAAATTTTAAAAAAATCTAATCTAATCCTACAAAAATAATGTTTTAAAAGTAATTTTAACTGGATTTTTACTTAAATTAAAAAAACACTAGTTTTGATATGGCCTCTGCATAGGGTTAATGTCCATACACATACATCTTTGTTGACTAGATTTATACTAGTTAGCCCTAGCTCTGGCCCTATAAACATGACTGAACTGCAATATCCAGAAGCCATAACTAGCAGAGCCAAGAATATACTGTATGGTATATCTCAGGGTCTCTAGAAGCTGTAGTCTAGGAATATTAGGAGCTCTAAGCATGGGAATCATTGCTCTGTGAAGTGCCAGGAATCATCTGACCACTTGCAATTACAGCTTGTATAGCACTGGAGAAACATTTGACTGAAACCTCTTCATCTTCCACCCACTGTCACAAATCTTCCTCTCCTGGCCAGCTATTTAGGTTGGTGCAATTACAGCTTGTTAGTATAGCACTGTAAAAAATGTTTGACTGAAACCTCTTCGTCTTCCACCCACTGTCACAAGTCTTCCTCTCCTGGCCAGCTATTTAGGTTGCAGGGATCAGTTCTTAAAATGGCCCTTCCATCAATTTGCAGATCAATCACAGAAAATAGGAGCCAGTATTGTTGGTGGTGCATGGATGACGCTTTCCCTAGGGGTGAGGAAGTGAGGTGCCATGTTTTAGGGCAAATAATTTTCTCCAGCATCATAATTTTCAGACATGTCGTATCCCACCATCCCCAGCTGCCCATCTCTATTTTCTGTGCACTAATGAGAGCAGCAGACCAAGACTGAGCCAGAAGGTGACTCTATTCTTCTCCTGCCCTTGATTTCTGCAGGTGTAGAACGCAGCCCTGATGAAATGGAGGAAGGCCACGTTGATGTTTGCAGCACTGTTTTTTCTCCATATGCTACTGGGATAATTCAATACTCTGAGGCAAATTTCAATAAACTAGTGAACTTGACAAACTACAATATCGTCAATAATAAACATTTGATTCTTCAGGCTTTGCGTACAGCAGTTGAACGAAAGAAGGAGCAAAAGAAAGAGTCTTCCTACTCATCTTAGTCCTTTTCATGTTATGTATTTCCCAATTTTTCTCCATCTGACAGCTACCAGAGTGCAACTGGCCAGTACCACCAATGTGGGAAGCTATTACTGTTGTCCTTTTTATACCTCAAATGGGCAAAGAATGCTATCACATCATTGTTGCATACACCTCACTAAGAAATCCATAGCTTGGGAATCAGTGGCTCAAGATACAACTGAGAATTTAAAGATGAAATTGGAACTTGGTCTTCCTAGGTCTAAGCCCCATGCTGTGGAGACTTTGCAAAAGTATGGATCCAACTTGCTGAGCAACTGAAGTCATCTAGCAGCAAGAAGCTCTAGCTTCCATAGCTATGGCTTAATACAAAAATGCATCTTCATAACTTGAGGATGGCAGCATTGAGTGAGTAATGATACACCTTTATAAAACGGTCATCTCGGAATTGAGCTTTCTGGTCCACCTTGCATCACTGCAAATGCAACACTTGTTTAAATGGTGGAAAACCACATATTCAGCTGTAGTTCATTGCCTGTAGTCAGGTTCTTCATGCCTTCTGAAGAAGTGAATGTGGTGTTCCATACTACAAACTGTTGTTTTCTTATGAATGTTCATATGTGATTCAGTCTTAAGGACTATGTAACCTAAAGCAACAAAAGCTATATGGCCCCAAAACAATTATACATCTTGAATTGTTTAATGACTGAGAAGAGGCTGGCAGACAGAATTTCATTGCAGCACAAATGCACCCATGTCATCATATGGGGCAGATGTAATAGCAGGGGCCCTTATTTATTACTCCCTTTTCCCATTTATACTCAGCCTTTCCTACAGTGAGGTCTGTTCCTCATTCCTCCTGCTTTCTTCTGACAAGAACCCAATTAAATAGATAAGGCTGAGAAAGAAAGACTGATCCAAGGTCATCTCTTGAGCTTCTTGAATCCGTGGAGACTAGAAGCGGTATCTCTCCAAACCTGGTCCAGCACTCTGATTCTATGTCACAGTGGTTTGTAATCCTCAAAATCTATACTTTTGTTAGTTGATCTTTTTTTTATAATCTTAGCAAAGCACATTCACATAATAATCAGCTTCCAGAGCAGCTTTGCCTGTGGATATTTAGGAGGCAACTAAAGGCATGGCTCTTTAGGGAGGCTTTTCATACTGACCCCAGTTGATTGTCCATTATTTTTAAGCCTGTTGGTTCTACATGTTGTAAACTGCCCAGAGTGGTATAAAAATGAACTACTCCTCCTCCTCCTCCTTCATCATCATCATCATCATCAAGCATTACACAATCAACGGATGTGATATTGTTGTGTACACACGATGGATTGTCTGAACGGAAAAGGTCCTTTCCTTACCTGATTTGCTGCTCTGCAAAGCTGAGAGGCAGCGGCACTTGCAGCTGCTTTTTAAGGTGGAGTTTGGGCAAAACTTATTTCTTTTTTAGGGGGAGGGGCGCACAGATTCCCTTGCCTTTGTAAAAGCAGTGAAGTCTGTTCCCATTAAAAATCTCTTCTCGGGATAGAGCAAGCGAGGGAGAGAAAGAGCGTTGCCACTTATAATAATCTGTTTCTAGAAGCCACCAGCACCGGTACTATGTTCAGTTCTCATGCTAATATTTTCCCAAACAGAAGCAATTGAAGTGCTTGGAACTCCTGGTAAAAGGAGTTCCATTTTAAGAAGAATTTTAGTTCCTTCTATTTCGAAACATTGTGAGCTTTGTGTTCAGGTCCCATCCATAGTCACCAGCAGATGGCAGAAGAGTGACCAGGTAGATAGCTTTTCTCTAATACTAACCATGGACCAATGTTTTTGGAACAGGTCTTCCTGTCCAGTTCTGGAGAGGTGGGGAGAAATAGCACTTGAAAACTGGAGTGTCCTTTGAGCAAAGCTTGGAAGTAAAATTTCACAATAAAATAATTTTCAACTGATAGCAGAGTAGCCTAGCAGCATTCCAGCTTTGCAATGCGCTGTCTGGATTGATGTTATATCATGCCATGTTACTGCAGCACCACTTGGTGGCCAAAGTGCCTTTATTACAGGGATAAAAAGTACATTCATCTTTAGCTTCGGAGGGAAGTGGATCAATCTTAGTCCTGTTGTGCTTCTCTGAATTCCATGTGCACTTTCTTCTCATCTTTCTTCCCATCATTGGGTTGCAAACCGTCTGTGAACTGGGGGTACAAATTATCATTTAAAAAAGAGAGAGTAATTAAAATTACTGCAGAAATTGAGATGTTATCCTTTCAGCAAGAATTAGAAGAATTTCATTTGCATTTATTTCAATCAGATATTTCTGTGTGTATTTATGTATATGGTGCCTTTTGGCCATTGTCTAAAGTGTGTTTTCATGCATTTCTTCCATTGTACACATTTTAAATTTGTAGAGTGTATTCTTTTTAGTTCTTTGAAATGCATAATAAAACCTTACAGATGAGCAAATTCTTGAAGTGTTTTTCCTTCCTGTGTAATGTAGAAGGCATGCAAACATTACTTTTGTTGAGACTGTGAAGACTCATCAAATTCCTTTCCATCCTTAAGTTTTTTGAAAGGTCCTCTTAAAGTTGCTGAAAATCTTGCCAATTTTGGGGAGGAACAAATACCCCATGAACATTAGAATAGGGAGATGTTTCACCATGTTCTTTAAAAGTGCAACTTTTTCATGATTTTATGTTTTAAGTTAAAGAAAAAAGAGTGTATTTTATCAATATTACTGCCTATTCCTTGTAGTATTTTGTAACCCTTTATAGTTAAGGCATAGTGATTTTGAAGAGTAAATTGATCTTTAAAGATGAACTGAAACTAGTTTCTCTAACGTTTTGGAGAACAAGCAATGTCCTTACAGACTGGGGGCAGATGTATATTCTCCCTCTCACGGAAAAGAGGGAACCAAAACGACAACTGGTCAGTCAGCTTTTCAGCAGTAGCTCATTCAATAATTAGCCTGTAAACACTTCAGCAAAGAATGTTGCAATTCCTATGAGCTAGTGTATCACTCTCTGAGTTTGTTAGATTAGTATTGCAGAAACAAAAACGTAAAATAGGAAAATAACATTAACAGCAGTAGAAGCAAGCTAAAACTGGATGCTACAAAATTGAGTTCCATTCACCAGATATCTTTATCATCCAAGGCAGGAGATGCACATTAGAAAGCAAACAGCTTTCTAATGTGTATAATCTTTAACATGAACTACATGTTCAGATGCAAATACATCATATCACCATATGGATTTCCCCTTCCAGTGCCCCTCCTGCACAACATGTTGCATTTCTATTATTATTGTTAATATTTTTATTACATATAAGCAACAAGTGGGAATCTCAGGAATGCTGTATTGATTGAATTTAGTTTTAAAAACTTTTAAAAATGTTTTCAAAATGTTTTTAAACTTGATTTGAAAATTGACATATATTTATTTTTTTTACTATGTTTTAAATGCTGTTTTCAAAACTGTAACCATTGTATAGTTTTAATTGTTTTGAGCCACCTTGGGTCCCCTATGGGGAGAAAGATGACAAACAAACAAGAAAATAATGGTTGTTGTGGGTTTTTCGGGTTCTTTGGCCGTGTTCTGAAGGTTGTTCTTCCTGACGTTTCACCAGTCTCTGTGGCCGGCATCTTCAGAGGACAGGAGTT